GCAGAAGCGTGGCGACATTTCTCATCGTACCAACACTGCTTCCGATTGTACTCGGAGTATCCGAGTATTTCCGTGGCAGCCGTACTCAGTGGTGTGGGAGATATGTTTCTACTGTTTGCAGCTTTCGACGTGTGTAAGAGCGCGCGGGATGGGCCACATTGATCCGCGTGCGAACTTTGGCTGAAACAAGGTATTGATCCGAGCATATGTTGGCACGTACATCTAGAACACTCGATGAGAGCCTTCCGTCGATCACATCATCAATCCGATTTCGCGTCAGTTGGTCAGTGGACTTCTTGGTGGACTTATGAATGTCGCGATGTTGGAATCTGGGACTACTAACAACCATGTTCCTTCCGCAGCGAAATCTATAAGCCTCTATCCATTACTGGAGGTTGTTTCGTGGAGGCTACAACGATCGACCCCCGAACTGAAGATCAGGGCAGCGTACACATAATTATTCCAGTCGCTCATAGAATTAATCTTTGTCCGATTCGTCCTTGGCTTCCGTTGGGGCATGTGCACAGTCTTGTCAACAGGCGTAAAGCTTAGGACAGAGCGACGAAGTCATTGACTTACTTCGAAAGCGCATCCGAAGTCTTGCTTGGAGGTGTGACCGCTGTAGATCTCCCAGGGTGCGCTGGTTGATGGTTTTGTCAGCTTGCGCCCCTGTCCAATCCATCGCATTTCCTGAAGAGCGGCGATGTCAGCAGGGTAGTTCTTGAGCACATCCTCTAACTGGATATCCGTAGCATCCCTGTTGAGGGGGCGAACATTCCAGGTGCATATCCCCAAATCGTAGTTCTTAAAACGTTTGCCTGGTCGTCATCAGAGGGAGTCCGTATCCTAGGCATTAGTGCCATAGTTTTCATTGTAGACTGTGTTTAAGGGTGGTGGGTCCCAAGCCCGACGCACCAACCCTACTTACCCTATAGGAAGGGGCTCGCTGCTCACGTTAGCAAGCATCTTTGCGGGTGCATCGCTTTATTACCTGGGGTCTTCAGGAGGAGTCTACTTCAGACGAAGTATGACAGAATCGAGCTGGGTTCACCAAGTTGAACCGGTCAGCAGTTTATCTGGCTACTTACTCCCCCCTTACCACCTAACTGTGATTTTGTGAATACTGTGGATTCATGCAGGGCTCTAGTACAAACAGAAAAATAGATCTAAGCATACTTGATAATGTTTACATATTGTATAAGATAAATTGTTATTTTTCATTCAAAAGTAAGAAAACACCGATTAAAAATTATGGATGGAGGTAGGAAAATGAAAATACTTAATCCGCTATGCTCCGGTTTTCGTAAAATTTGCGAATAGACGACATTTTTACCCCTGGCCGATATGGATATCGATATTTTATCGATCAAATGGGAATTCGAAATTTTTTGTTGTTTGGGTTTATTTCTTTCAGGTAAAATTTGGGTGCCATTAGAAATTAATTTATTAAATATATTAGGATATACGAAATTTTCAATTACACTAGTCAACACGATTTTTCCTCAAGGAACAAAACGAACTTTTTCTTAAAGATTTGGGGCTTAGAAATGGTTTGATGATATTTTTTTTTTTCTATGGCAGAACTTTTTTTTGAAGAATTTTTGAAAACTGGTATTTTTTTTTAAGCTTTTTTCAGAGGTAGCGATAGTTTTTTTCACATAACTTGAATATCTTACGTCTGGTTGTACAGAACTTTGCTATTTTGAAAAGGTAATTAAAACAGCTAGAAGTTAAGCCCAAACACTTTGTGAGTACCTGATCGCGATCCCAATTCCCAATGGGCAGTTGAGCTCGCAACCTTCCAAAAGGAATTTTTTGTTCATTTTTTCCATATTTTAGGTTTAGTTAACGAATTTTAGCTCCAAAGTCTCTCCATAGATTTTAATGAGCGATACCTTAAACGACGCCAAATTAATGCACCTATATACATAAAAATAGAAGACACAGGATATAATTTTTTTTCGATTTTTCCTGAGTTTTTAAAGTCAAAATTTCGTAAAAAATACCGCACAAAAATCATCATTTTTGCACTTCAATGCTTTATATTTCCCAGACGGTAAGCTGTAATCACAAAGTGTTTGGGCTTAACTTCTAGCTGTTTTAATTATCTTTTCAAAATAGCAAAGTTCTTTACAACCAGACGTAAGATATTAAAGTTATGTGAAAAAAACTATCGCTACCTCTGAAAAAAGCTTAAAAAAAAATACCAGACTTCAAAAATTCTTCAAAAAAAAGTTCTGCCATAGAAAAAAAATTTTAAAGCCTCATATCTATCAGAAAAAGTCAGTTTGGATCCTTGAGGAAAAAAAAGTTCGATTTTGTCGAGTAGTGTTATTAACGCGCAGGCTTACGGGAGCGGAGAAGACTTTTCCGGCAACGGCAACAAATTCCTAGCCGAAATGAAAAGTAAACGGCTTTTTATCATAGCTCGCAAATAACTAACAAATAACAACACTTTTTTCCATTGCGGTCTGGTCTCTGAAAAACCAGAAATTCCCCACGGACACTCGCTCCCGCTCTGAGCAGAACACTTTTCGTTTTTGTTATCTGTTTCGAGTCTTCGGGTATAGCCGAGATACGCTCGTGTCCACAATAACAACTTAAAGAGGCACATTTGATTAAGCGCTCGCAGAAAAAGTGTCTGTAGATGAACATAACAAAACACTTAGTTTTATAGATCAAAAGATACTTTTTCGTTCGCTCGTGGGGTCGTTGCTCAGTGAAAAACAGTATCAAAACAGAATTGGAAATCGGGTCTTTGCTTGAGCGAAGAGCGAAATGAGCAAAGACAAATTTGATTGGTTCTTTTCTGTCCCATTCGTTATGTGTCCGTAAATGGGACGTTTTTTTCAAATACTCCGTATGTGTTGACCGTTTTTTGCGAGCTATGCTTTTTATATAACTTTGTTTAGTTAATAATAATCTTAATTGCAAAAGAAAAAAAAATAGATGATGTAGAATCTAAATGGTACATGTATAATCTACATGTTAGATGTAGAATATAAATAGTAGATGTAGATAACGGATGTAGCAAAAAAATGTATTTTTTAATTCTAAAATTTTTAAAAATAATAAGCTGAAAAATGTATATACTGAATGAGTACGGGTATAAGTAGAGTCGCGTCCCCAGAAGCGACTCACACGTTCCTTCTCGTTTTTTCTACGGCAGAACTTATTTTTTGAAGAATTTTTGAAAACTCGTATTTTTTGCCTTGAAATGAAAAGTATGACTTTTTGCTTAAAAGTAAAACGCAAAGTGAATGTAAAAACCGGAGATAAATATAAACTAAAAAATATTTTTTTCCCGCTCATAAAAGTTCGAAAAACGTAGCACAATTTTGCGATTTGCGATAGTTATCGGTTATAATCGGAGAATGCCTGAATAACCTATTCTCATACCTACGAAATATACAAACCGAGAACTACTTATACCCGTACTCAGTCAGTATATACATTTTTGAGCTTATGATTTTTTAGAATTTTAAAATTAAAAACAAAATTTTACATTTAAAATTTTTTTGCTACATCTTTTATCTACATCTACATCTACAATGTATATTTTACATCTAATATGTAGATTTATAGATGTACCATTCATATTCTACATCTTCTCCGCTAGGGGTTGCTCGCGCACTGAACGCGGCAGAGTGTGCGAACGAGAAAGAGATAGGTAGCGCGTCTCTGGCAGGGGGAGGCAGAGGAAGCAACGGAAAATTAATTTCTTCATTCTGGATATAATTATGATCCGATCTGATTCAGATTCGGCAATCTGATAGATATGGTCATTCTCTACGATACGGCGTTTTTAGTTTTATCGTATCTTTAAAATTGGGCCTGCCACAGGGTTCTTTGTGGGGTCGGATGGGGGCGGGGTGAAATTTTGAAATACACTTGTAGCAGTGTGATATCACATGAGTCTGGAAACAAAATTTGGTTGCTCTAGCTTTTATAGTCTTTGAGATCCAGGCGCTCATCAAGACGGACGGACGGACAGACGGACATGGCTATATCGACTCGGCTATTGATGCTGATCAAGAATATATATGCTTTATGGGGTCGGAAACGTTTCCTTCTCTGCGTTGCACACATCCACTTTTACCAAAAATCTAATATAACCCTTTACTCTTTTTTGAGTACGGGTATAAAAATCATAAGAATTGGTCGTTTCGTTTGGGCGAAGTCTAACCACAAACACCGTGACACGAGATTCTTAGATATAAAAATATTGTTCAATAGATGGAATGGGGATAGATGGCGTCGGACTATTTTTATAAGACTCGAAATACTTACATATTTTTATTATTACTCCATTTAAACTAATTCCCATGCTGGATAAAAATATACAACATTTTTTTTGTCATTTTCGATTTTTGATAACCCTTTTAAAGTCAGTTGTTTGAGCTTATCGAAATTTTGATTGTTTCCGACTAAATATTGTGAGTGTTTGAAGGTTAGCGATATCCGTTCAAGAAAACCAAACAGAATTACATTAGAAGTCTGGAAATTATAATCACTTTGTTCCTGGGTGTTTCAACATTCTTTATCATATTTTTGGAGGATGCACTTTAATAACTCTTGTAGTCTTTCATATCTAGCCTCAGTCGGGACGAACCGATAATGTTTTTCTATAAAAATAGTCAAAGCACTGAAATCCAAGGTACTCGTATTATCAACTTATGGAATATTTTTACGAATACGAGGTGCTTTTAATAGGAGTAACTATTGAGTAGTTCTACGTACCTGCAGATAATGGGAAGACAAAACAGTGTGTACACCCAAAAGCATAGAATGAACCATCTTTCAAACGTAGCTTTGTTTTGTTTTTTATCCATGCAAACATAATTTTCCACATCGAAACGTGGCAGAAACATGTGTATGGATGTCGGCTGTCCCGCAATCGTAGAAAATTCAGATTCCCTCAGAGTTTCTTTTTTATTTGTATGTACGAAGAGACATTCTGCTATAATCATCTAATTTTAGATTATACTATTTTTTTTAAGGCCGTTATTAAGAAAACTCGAATAACTTGCAAGTGTCATGGAGTCTCTGGATCATGCAGTTTAATTACTTGCTGGCAGCAATTATCAAGTATAAGAGAAATTGGTAAGTCATTTTCTAAAAATAAAATAGTAATATGATACGATTATGAAATCATTAGCTTAGATTAATAAACCCTGACGGCCATCCTGTTTTATATATTGACATTTCTGGACATTTGTCTAACTTAAAAATATGCGAGCACTAGCCTTCGGCTCTGTTGTTAATAGCAGCTGTTTGATAAATTCGCAAATTTTACATATTTCTAGGAAATGGTAGATTGAATTTTTTATTCTGGTTTTGTGTGCTTGTGATATTTTGAGGGTATTTTATCTTTAAAGATTTCTTTCCTTATCCTTGACCATTTTGTACAGACATCTAAAAGGTGATCCACAGAAATAGTCCCCAGTAACAGCGTTGTGCAGTTGTATTAGTTAGCAGGTGGGTAAATTTTGTTTGCATCGGTGGGGGAATTGGTCCCATTTGGAACCCAGGAAAGGGTACTTTTTTGGCTACTATATGCACAGGTTGATGATATCGGCAATTATTTTATTGAGGGAGGTTTTTGACAGCTTCTATAGTAAAGAGGCTTTCAGTGCAGATCGTAAGTATACCATGGTTTTCTTTTGCGTATGTGCAGGCTTTCCGGAGTACTGACGTTTTTGCTGTTAACTACGACATACACGGTGCCAGAAAAGTTTTTTGATGCATCAGTGTATAGTAGGCTGGGACAAAATTTGACCAAAATATTTTTTTTTTATTTCCAACGGGACACACCCAATTCTGTACTTTGTTGTTTAATATAATTATAAAATTTTGTTTCAAATTTTTAGTTTAATGTTTGGGGGTTGCTACCATGAAAAGAAAATAACAATTGTTGGTTAAATATACATTAAAAAAAATTTAATTTAATAATAGGGTGTTTTTATTTATTTTTTTTAGTTACTGTTAAAAAATTAACGATTGGTGAAAACTAAGAAGTTTAGCTGAGGTTTATTTATTTAGTTAACTAGTTCGCAAAAACTTGAGTAGGTTTTTTACTGCCAATAACTGATTAATGACGATATGAATGGTATCAAAATATATGCAATAGATTTCACCAATTACACTACCCGACACGATTTTTCCTCAAGGAACAAAACCAACTTTATCTTAAAGATTTGGGGCTTAGAAATGGTTTGATGATATATTTTTTTATACCCGTACTCAAAAAAGAGTTAAGGGGTATATTAGATTTGTGGTAAAAGTGGATGTGTGTAACGCAGAGAAGGAAATTTTTTCATCTCGCTCGCACACTCTGCCGCGTTCAGTGCGCGAGCAACCCCTAGCGGAGGAGATGTAGAATATACATAATATATGTAGATGTAGATAACGGATGTAGCATCTGTTCTAAAAAGTCATATGTTCAAAAATTTAAATACTGACTGAGTACGGGTATAAGTAGAGTCGCGTCTTTAGAAGCGACTCACACGTTCCTTCTCGTTTTTTTAAAGATTTTTTGAAAACTGGTATTTTTTTTAAAGCTTATTTCAGAGGTATCGCTTGTTTTTTTCACATAACTCTAGTATCTTACGTCTGGTTGTAAAAAACTTTGCTATTTTGAAAAGATAATCGCTCATTAAAATCTATGGAGAGACTTTGGAGCTAAAACTCGTTAACCAAACCTAAAAAATGAAAAAATTTAACAAAAAATACCTTTTGGAAGGTTGCTGGCCCAACAGCCAATTGGGAATTGGGATCGCGATCAGGTACCAAATGTACAACCCTTTTTCGTTTGAAGTTGGGCCCGCAACCTTCCAAAATTTATTTTTTGTTAAATTTTTTCATTTTTTAGGTTTGGTTTTGTGCTCGGGAAACGGAGTGATATATAGAAAGAAGGATAACGATACCCTTCTGTTCTGCGTACCCGAAGAGATAGAAAGCCATGTACTCTATAAATACCACGATGAGCCTGCGACAGCCTATTTTTGGCGTCTCCGTTTCCCATCTCGTAATGTTTGTGCTCGGACTTCTGCAATATCTCTTTTAACTTTAACAATTTTTCGTCTCTGTTCTGGCATATTATTAGGTTTTCTTCAAAAGTGTTTGTGTCTATCGTCCGTATCTGTGTGATTTTGCTAAGAGCGTCCACGTGTTGCATTCTACTTCCAGCCCTGTGTTCTAACATGTAGTCATTGCAGTCTGTCACTATCTTAAATGGTATGCCTTGAACATATATTCTGAACCGTTGAAGGGAGTAAATTATCGCTAGAGTCTTTAGTTCGAAGCTGTGGTATTTTGCTTCGGTGACTGTTGTTCTTTTGGAAAAATAAAACACTAGGTGCATCTTGTCATCGCTCTTCTTTTGCATTAGTATCGCTCCGAATCCTAAAGCGCTCGCGTCGCAATGTAACTCTGTTGGATCTAGAGGATTATATAGTGCCAATATTGGCGCTTCCAACAAGTTACTCTTTAGCTGCTCGAAACACTCTAATTCTGTGGCTCCGAACTCAAACTTTCTGTCTTTTTTAACGAGATCATAAAGCGGCTTAGCTTTCGTCGAAAAATCCTTCACAAACCGCCTGAAGTAAGAACATAGCCCTAAAAAACTGTGCACTTCGTTCGTTTTCATTGGAACTCTTTCACTGTCTGTGGAGTAATCCTTTCCGTTACCAGAAATAGAATAACCCAGGTACTTGACTTCTGACTGCAAAAATTCGCATTTATCTAACCTCAGCTCGAGTTTGTTTGCTATCAACCGTTTCATGACTTCCTGTAAAATTTCCATGTGAGTGTCACTATCTTTTCTTGGTATTATTATGTCATCCATGTATATTATCACTTTGTCTTCTTTTACCATGTCAGCGAAAATCTTGTTAGTGAACCTTTGAAAAACCGCAGACGCATTGCGTAGTCCAAATGGCATCCTTAACCACTCGTATTGTCACATCGGCGTCGTGAAAGAGGTATATTTGACGTTGTGCATGAAAACGGTGAAATACCCGTTTTTCAAGTCTAATTTAGTGAACAGTCTTTTTTCTGCCAGTTTATCTAACAGATCATCTATCAATGGTGTCGGGTAGTTGTCGTTTATCATTCCCTTATTGAGTGTGCGATATTCGACGCATAACCTTAACTCTCCTGATTTCTTTTTTATTAGTACTATGGGTGAAACATACTCCGACTCACTGGCTCTGATGTAGCCTTTCTCTGTGTACTCGTCTAACATCTTTTGTACCTGCGCCTTCTCGCTATACGACAGCCTTCTGGGAGGACAGTGGAACGGTTTTTCGTGTTCGAAACTTAATTTCATCTCCCACTTTGTTTCCGGTAAATCTGGTCTGTTTGCGTCCACATAGTTGGTTCTGAACAGTTTTATAAGCCTTTCTACGAGTTCCTGGTTACAGTCTGTAACTACTTTCAGCTCACACTCATGTTTTACGGCAGGATATTCGTGCGGCAGATCGTAAAAGTTGACCCGGATGTTCTCGCATGTATCATTGTGTTTCACCCGCCCACCTGCTGCACCATCTTTCTCTCCGAAACAATCGTTTTCTCCTTCACCTTCATTTTCTCCTAAATACTCGTCTTCTGCTTTACCTTCTACTTCTCCTTCACACTCGTTCTCTACTTCATACTCATCTTCTCCCAACAACTCACTATGTATTTCACACTCTTCTCCTAAACGCTCGTTTTCTCTTTCACACTCATTTTTTACTTTGCACTCGTCTTCTTCTAAACACTCATTTTCTCTTTCTATTTCACACTCATTTTCTATTGCACACTCATTCTTTCCTAACCACTTATTTCTCTCATCTTCATTTTTCGTTTCACACTCCTCTTCTTCGTAATAGTAATTTTCAGCTTTGCCAACGTTCTCTTCTCCACTCTCATTTTCCTTGCAAATGTCACTTACAATCTTAAATTTACATAATCTCATAAAATCTCTACCTAATACCGCCTCATGGCCCATCGACTCGTTTGCCACTACTAATAGTTCAAAGTTAATTTGTTCTTCATTAAAAATTACAAAACCGGAAACTTGTCCGAAAACACGAAGTCTACTGTTGTTTAGACCAACGTATGTGTGGCTCGTATTTTTATTAATAACAAATGTAGGCTTCTTAATTTCATTGCCATTCTCTGAATTACATGAACTTAACTTTCCTTCTCGGACTTTTGTCGCATTATTTTTCGTTTCTTGGTTGTGATATGAACTTTAATCTACTTGATTAATATTGTGTCCACTTGAAAGGCACGAGATCTTCCCAAAACTTATTGGGCTCCCTGAGTCGATGAGGCCGTCTAAGAAAAAACATTTATTATTAAAATTCATAATGAATATGTTAAATTTACGGATGTATAAATTTATTGCTCCTGGTGGCGCGTACTTCTTCGGCAGCATGACTTTCTCGAAAGCCCTCAGCAGCTGCTACGGCGCGACGAAACACTGCATGTGGGCCTGACGGCGCAGTGTCTCATCCGGAATACCCTCGACGATGCCGTCGATTAACCCTTCGGCGTCGATGGCTATGCGAGACGCTAGCATCATCTTGTCGTTGAAGTAGCCGGCGAACTCCTCGTCGCGCATCCACGACCGTGACTCGAACTTACGGCGGAGTGACAGCTTGCTTTCCTTGAGTTGAAATGTATTCTCCATTACATTTAAAAGCTGATCAATTGGCATGGACATGTGCTGTACCTCAGAATGCAGCCACATTAGGGCATTGTCTTTCAGCTTTGACATCAGCAGCATCATTAGCTGCTCATACGACAGTTTGTTTATCTTTGCCGTCGCTCTGAACTGCGCGATCCAAGCCGTGACGTCACCATTGTTGCCAGAGGTGTTGCCGTGGTAGTTTGGCAACATGTCTTTCGCAACATTGAGTCGCGCGAGGCTAGACTCAATATTGACAGCCGCGCCTGCACACAGCGGAATATTCTCACTCTCTCCTCCCTTTTGTAGCTTCAGCAACTCAATTCGTAGTTTCAAGCAACTCAATTCGTAGTTTCAAGGCCTCGATTTCGTCTGCTTGATCCGTTGCTTTTCGTTGTCCCTTTTGTGCTTCTGGTTTGTTGTTGTAGCT